AGGTGCTTCAGCTCCAGATGCCACCAGACACTGGGCTTCTACCCTCAGCCTCAGCAGGTGCTGAGCAAGGGAGGAACCTACCAGGCCCCCTGAGGACCCCTGCTAAGATGCCCACCTTTTCTGTAGGAGTCCTGGGGCTCCAGGTTCACCTGTGACTTGTGTGTTCTTTGCCCAGATGAGAGTGGCTTATATTTTTCTTTCTTATTCAAAAACAGGTTTATTGGATTATTTTTATATCAAGAACAGACTCACTTGAATGGTGACCCTGGGGCTCTGCAGGGGAGGATATGTCAGAAACTTGGTCCCTGGCTGAGGTCTGGAGTCTCCTGGGGCCGGGGAGGTTCAGCACATCACAGCTGTGACTCATCCCAGCCACTAACACAGGGACAGAGGACATAGAAACAGGAGGGAGAAGGGAAGGTGTCCCAGGTCACCTACACAGGAACCCTCTGCAGAGGTCAAGTTGAAGAAGAAAACATATTTTTTGTGCAGCCCCTAGAAACAGATCAGAAAGTCACTTTTGAAGGGAGAAGAAGAGGATGATAAGTAAGGAATATCATGCACATTTATGCCTTTTTAGCATTTTTAATGTTGGCTTGTCTAGCTGGGGACTGTGGCCAATTAACTAGTGATTGTTATTTGAATTATTTTGAAAAGGTTATTGTTTACTGTAGGCCTGGTTGATTTTGCACACTGCAGAAGTAAAAAAAAAAAAATGTGTATGCTTTTCAATGAATAATATTATTCTGAGATGTTGGGGTCCCTGCTGTTCCCAGGGTCACCTTGTGGTCTTTGCTTTTGCTGTCTATTATCGGTCATGGGTATCCCACCTCCCATCTCAGATGCATCTCCAGAAGCCCCTGTGCCTTCCCGGATCCACAGAGGGGAAGAGCCACACGCTCCACACCTCGCTCACCATAGCAGACCCACACGTAATTCATCAGGGTTGAAATGATTCTGCCCACTTTCCCTCCTACAGCCACTGTTGGCTTCATGGCTTGGTCCCCACAACCACAAGAACATCAATGCCTAGATCACACACTGGCTCAAGTGCACTTGAGCTCATGTGAGGGCTGTAACTTATTCCAGAAAACTCTGCCATGAACCTGAATACCCTCAAACATCAGAGGATGTCTGGGTTTTATATTGAAAAAAAAAGGTGAATTCTATTAAACTTTAGGTACATTTACTTTCGTAGTTGAAAAAAAATATCTATTTGGAAATGGAAAAGAAAGGTACAAGAGCAAAAATGATTTTTTGAAGTGATACAAAGATAGCTTGTGTGTAAAATATCAATAAAGTTTTAATGTACCCCAAATAGAGGAGGGAGAGACCCCAGGAGGGTGGTGCTTCATGCAAGGGTCAATCTTGGGAAGGCAGTTGGGACTGAGGAGCAGCCTCAGGATCAGGTGACTAATTACAGCTCTCTTTCCTTGAGTTTTGACCTGAAGGGAGTGTGGAAGCTCTCTACATGGACCTAGAGTATGTGGAATAGAACTTGAAAATATCATGCTTCCAATCCAGTGCACAGAACTCACACACATGCACACCTGGTGTCCTATAGAAGCTCCCTCTCAGTCAGATAATTTTCACATTTGAATTCAATAATCTTGGCACAATTCTAGGCTATAAGTGTGATGTTCTCCTGTATGAAATTGTTTTGTGAAGATAACTGGTGAGTGTGTCTATAAGAAGCCACAGTGTAGAAATATCATTTTATTTTTATCTTTTTTTGCAATGTTTGGGATAAAATCTGGGCAAAAAATGCTGAAAAATAAATGACTAAAAAGTGATATAATTTTATAAACTAATTTGTGAAAATTATTAACAAAACTGAGATCCAAATTTGTATTTTCAATGTTAGGGTTTTATGCAAAATATTTGAAAAAAATATTTGAAAAAATATTTGAAAAAAAATATTTCAAAAACATTTGAAAAAGTGAAAGAGTAGATAGAAAACACTTTATTCTAAGAGGCAGATGACACCTCTGGGAATCAGCAGATTCAGAGCAAAGTTATAATTCATGTACAGATACCGGGTGTCCATACCAAGTTTCTCTTTTAATTTACACCTCATCGTGAGCTCACTCTGAGAACCACCTGGATTGTCCTCATTGGTTAATGCCAAGGGGTAGGGGGGCCTGTATAGGCTTTGACCTGAATGCATTAGCATCATAATGTGCCACAGGTAAGGTGACTTCCCCCACAGTGTAGTCAGAATGATGGGTGGCTCTGATATATTTTATCAAGCCCATATTTAAGAAGAGTGTATGGTCACAAGCTCTGTGTGGAGAGATGTGTGTTCTTGTCAAAGATCTGTTCATGAATTCCTTGAAAGCAGGTTTATTCAGGGCATGGAGGGAGAAGACAGAAATCAGAGTCCAAGTGATCCTGAGAAGATATACACTTGTCAAAAGCAGATAAGAACTGTCCACAAATGAAGATAGAGTAAAATTCAGAACAATCAGAAGAAACAAAAATAGGGAGGATAATTTAATTCCTGTCCCTGCAAACACAGGGCTCACCAAGGCTGCAGCTTTGCTGTGTCAGGCTAGTGATGGAAAGAGGGAAGGGAAAGGGCACAGAGAGGACTTCTTAGTTTTATGCTCCATGATGTACTTTCCTCAGATCATGTGCCATGTGTGGTATTTGGTTCCAGACCATGAGTCACTGTTTTAAGAAAAAAAGTTTCTGCTAGAATCAAAACAGTTATACTGATGTCATTGCATATGCGCTTCTGTAGACTGTGCTTTGGTTTCAACTTCAGGTGACCCTCTACACCTACTGTGTTAATGCAGGAATATTCAGAGGTGAAAGGACAAGTCTAGGAGAACTGAGGTTATTCAGTCCTTCCTGGCCTGAGTGGACTAACTGGGTGGTGACTGAGGGCAGGGGGGTGTGGCTGGAGGAGGTAGTCACTAGGGATGAGCCCTGGAAGGTGCATCTTCCCTGAGGCCCCTTCCCCTCTCTCCTTGCACTTCCTGGCCACCAAGTGTGAAGCAGCTATCCTCCCCCACACCCTTCTGTCCTGAAGTTCTGCCCACCTAGGCCCAGAGCCATGGGGTAAGCTGACCATGGACTGAAAGACAATTCTGTTGACCTAGAGCTCTAGATCCAGGGAAAAGTACTTCAGAAATCAAGGTAAAATCAAGAGCCCCTCAATGTAGAAAAAGAAAGAGAATAATACATAGCTAACCCCAAAGTGGGGGAAAAGTGCTCTATAAAGAAATAATATGTGATAGGAACATGGACCTTGGAACACAGGATGAAGAAGGACCACAAAGGAGGAAGAGATGACAAGTATTTGACAGCTGGACTGACCACTGCACATTATGGACATCTGTCCAAACATCACTGTGACATCACAGGTCACCAGGGAAATGCAAATTAAAACACATGAGAAAACAGCCCCCTTGAGGGATGGCCAAGTCTAGGAGGGAGCAGCCCACAGGCAGCAGGAGGGGATCCAAGGCCCCATCCCTGATGCTAAGCTGGTCCTGGCTGCAGTCACAAGCCACTCCCAGCAGCTGAGTGTTCTGGAGAGTGTCCACAAGCTGTCTCCAAGATGAAGACAGGACGTACAAGACAGTGTGACAGATTCTGATAACACTAGGCATTCTGCTATGAAACTAAAGATGGTGAACATACACATCTAAAAATAAATAAAAATCTACAAATGAAAACTTATAGGAACTGTGTTCAGCATTGAAAACTTGGAGGACACAAGCCTGCCCTTCACTAGGGAATGGATCAATACTGTCCAAGAGCCAGAAGTAGAGTTGTACTCAGCACTGAAAAGAACACAGCTATCAAGAAGTCTGTAGTGATTCTTGCCTATAATCCCAGTAACTGGAACTGAGGCAGGAGGAGCACAAGTTTATGGCCAGGTTCAACAATTTAGCCTGAACCTAATAACTTAGAGAGATCCTGTCTCAAAACAAAACAGAACACAAACAAAACAAAAACAAACAACAACAAAAAAACCCACCAAACTAAACCAAACAAACAAACCAAAAAAAAAAAAAAAAAAAAAAAAAGTACTGTGAATATAGCTAAGTGGTTGCACATGCCTGTATTAAGGACCAAGTTTGAAGAAAAAATTAAAAAGGAGGGAAAAATAGAAAATAGCTATCATATAATGAAAATCCATGAAGGAAGGAAACTTACGTGCAAAGCACTCAGGTGAGAGCCAGTCTGAATGTCTTACTTTCTGTAAATTCCAGGCCTGTGTCACTCAGTCCAGGTGAAACTACAGGATGGAAAATCATGAACATCTGCAGCAGAGAGGCTGGGGTGAGGAGCAGCTGGAGCTCAGACAGTGTGAGGGTGGGACGTTCATTGTGCCAGGCCATACTGTAGGACACATGACACTGCCCAGTTGTCTACTTCCACAGAATGCACAAAGTGACCCTAGTGTGATCTATAGATATGGGCAGAGGTTGATGAATTGTAATAGAAGCAACAGAGTCTGGGGTGGTGATGGAGGGGTGTGGGAGCAGGGTGGACACAGGAGAACTCTGTACTTCACCCAGTTACGCTGGGAACTTAAACTACACTAAAAATCAAAGACTTAAAATATCCCTGTGTGGAATACATGGAGAGGGCTGTCAATGAGCCATTATCATGGTCACCTGCTGGGGCTGAGCTGAAGGAAAGCTTCAGGGTGCAGAGGAGCCACCCTGGATCCTTCTACAAACCCTCCCTGTGGCCCTGGGACCCTGGTGTCTCTGAGCAGTGCCCTCAGCAGGTGGAGACAGCAGGAGGAGCAGCTGGGGAAGCCCAGCCTCACACTTCTGCTCTCTGGGAGGTTTTTGTCATGGCCTGTGTCACTGTGGGAGGGTAACTGTTACTTTGTTGACAGTAATAATCAGCAACATCTTCAGGCTCCAGGCTGCTGATGGTGAGAGTGAAATCTGTCCCAGATCCACTGCCACTGAACCTTGAGGGGACCCCAGATTGCAAAGTGCTTGCATATCTGATGAGGAGTTTAGGAGCTAGCCCTGGTTTCTGCTGATACCAGTGTAAATGATTGCTAATGCCCTGACTGGCCCTGCAGGTGATGGTGACTCTGTCTCCACGAGACACAGGCAAGGAGGATGGAGACTGGGTAATCATGATATCACATCTGACACCTGCCATTGGAAACAAAAAGAAATATTCTTATGAGCTTTATGTTCCAAGAGGACTTTCCTGAGTAGCCAGCAGCACTGATCACACTGTGATTAGTAAATCCCCAGTACTGTCCCTCCTTACCTGGGAGGCAGAGCAGCAGGAGCCCCAGGAACTGAGCAGGGGCCCTCATGGCCATGCTGTGTCCTGACAGGGACTGACTCCTGCACAGGGTGTGAACAGCCTCTTAAGAAGTCCTCAGGGCAGTGGGCTGTGCTGTGGGCACATGCAAATCAGCAGGGCTGGGCAGGCTGGGCACAGCTGCAGGGAGGCTCCTCCTGGTGAATCAACACAGGATCAGTGTGTCCAGGTGTCCCAGGTCAGACCAGGGCAGCTCAGATTTGCTTGGGGGTAACATAGTTCCCTGGGGCCACAGGACACAGTCAGCCCCCTGAGCTGTGAGGGGTGATCTGTAGTCAGTATCTGGTTCAGGACACGCTGTCCTTGTGTCCTAAGCACAGTTCTGTGTTGGTGACCTTTGGAGGAGGAGGGGACATTACAGAAGCAAGGGGATAGTTTATGCTTTGGAAGTAAAAACAGAAATCAAGACAGAAAGAGAGGAAGATGTATAAACTCACTGAGGATTTGGGGTTTCTGGGCATTGGCACAGCATTGGTAAGAGGCAGGGAATGAGGGACCCATGCATGGACCCAGCCCTCCCTGCCTCAGAGACCTACAGAGCACACTCATCCATCATGGTGCCCGTCTTCTCCAGACCAGCAAGTCTAAGGCCAGCCAGGCTCTTCCTCTTAACTGTCTTTTAGGAGAAGAATAATTTCACAAACAAGAGAATGTAGGGCTGGTCCAGCATCTTGGTAAAAACAGCAAATATTCTGAATCCTTACATATCTCTGCTTTTCCAGTATTACCACAGGGCCTTTTAATTCTTAGTAATGCCTCATGTCCTCAAGAGGGCTGCAGTGTCTCTAAACATCTTGTCTTGCATCAGGTCTTCTAGCAAGTTTTCCAGGAATAAAGCAGGACAAATTCTTCATGTTTTTCTTCTTTTAGTTTTCAGAAACCTTTCTTTTTTTTCTCTTCCCTCCCTTCCTTTCTTTCTTCCTTCATTTCTTCCTACCTTTCATTCTTTTTATCTTTCTTTGACTCATTCTTTCATTTATTTCTTCCTCCCTTTAGAGCTGATGACTGAACCCAAGGCCTGGTGCATGCTGCACAGTTCTCTACTTCTGAGTCAGAGCCCCAGCCCATCCTTCCCTCCCTCAGTTACACATCATTTCCGGGATCATCAGCTGTCTGCTGATACTTCTTTCTGCCCTGGTTTGGGAGGGCTCACCTGTTCCTACCTTCCTACCACAAACAGCAGGACAGAGCTGATGAGCAGTAAACTATAGGAAAAAGGGGAAGGTTTAAAAGCTTCATTTATTTTAAATATCCCTATGCTTGTCCTAAGTTCCTTAGGGAAGAGAGACTACAATGAAATCTTTACTGTGGGGGTTGGGAAAAGTACATTCAGGTCAACTTTCTCCTTAGCAAGTGACAACCTGCAGGTGGACAATTGTGGGAATGTGTGCAGAGCATCTGATGAAAGAAGGACTTTGCTGGTAACATAGATGGGAGAGGCTGGGGCAGGAGCTCACGCAAGGCTGAGCTCAGGCTGGAGTTGCCTGAGAGCTGTAAGCTCTGGCCCTCTGGCTCTGAAGTGGTGGTTCTCCTGGGCACATGGTGAGGACCTGGGGAAGCAGAGCCCCTGCCCTCAGGCTGCCTGGCAGGGGAGCCAGGGGAGGAAGTTGCTCCACACCATGGGGCTGAGCCAAGCAGAGAGGCCATGGCCAGGGGAGGTTCAGAGACCAGGAGTCAGCTCTCGCTTGGCTCTGTACTCAGTGCTCAGCTCACTGTCCTGGGGCAGAAACCCTGATAGACCAGAGAGGAGGGTCAGAAAAGACCCCCAGAGCTTCTTCTCAGCCAGAGTTCAATTTGCTTAGAACTAAAAGGAATACTCCATGCCACATATGTAATATTAAAATATAAATCCTATGGACACATCTGTGTTTATTTTGTAACTCTAGTATGAATATTTCTATGAACATAGGTATTTCGTGACTTTTTATTAAACCTATGATTTTATATTTATTTATTTACTTATACAGGTTTATTTATTAGTTTATCACCTGCAGTGATTCAGTCAGGGTTTATCACATGCTATGCCACAAATCACAGTAAAAAACCACAGTAATCTGACCCCAGACCCTCCCTTCTCCCTATGCACAGTGCTAGGGAGTGAGAAGTCACTTTCCCCTGCAGTCCCAGCAAGAGACTGATGTAAACACTTTGGTTTACATACTGTGTTTCTATAATTTTCCTGGGGTGCCCTTGAACCTGCAGTCCTCCTCCCTGAGTCTCAAGTTGTCCAGGACTATAGGCATGTGCCACCCTGCCCATGGGACTCTAAGTGCAGACACCCTGAGCCTGGGCAGGTAAAGCTGGCATCTCTTGGCTAAACCCATGGCTACCTCTCCACTCCTGGGACTGAGCATGAGCACCATGGAGTTCAGGACCTGCACAGGGCCCTCCTAATGCCTGGAACAGTGACCTTCCCATTGCTCAGGACACTGGGAGTCGTGAAGGTCTCCAGTGACAGAGAGAAGCAAGTGTCATAGAGACGGGGAGTTGTTGTGTGTCCCAAATAGAATTTCTATGTCCAGAGCTGGGATTGGGCAGCTCCTGTATCGTTGTTTCCCCCACACAGGGCAGAAGAGCTGGTGTCTTGACTGCATGGCACAGGACAAAGCCGTCCACAGCTGCTAGTGGCCACCTCTCTGACTGGACAGACAGAGGTGCCTCTGGCAGGTCACAGCTGACATGATGCAGGGACTCTGCTCACAGTGGACCATGGCGGCCACACGTACAGCCCTGAATACCTGCTGCTCTCCTTTCTGGTCTCTAAAGACCACCAGACACCACCTTTGACTCTCCCATGAGAATCCAAGGAGTGGAGTCAGAGGCAAGCCAAGGGCCAGGAAATGCAGGAGAACAGGGTTGTGACCCACATGAGTACAGCCATGTGGGGAGTGAGGTGTGACAGGTACAAATGCAGAGTAGGAGGGGACAGGACAGAGAAGACCCAGGCAGGGGGTCAGAGGAGAGATACTGGAGGAGCTCAGGTTCCAGGGAGAGTGATGAGAGGGGAAGGAGGGTGTGACTTCAGACCTGTCCCCAGCTTTCTCCCCTGAGAGTTCTTTTTTTTTTTCTTATTTATTTATTTATTTATCTTTTTTTAAATTTTTATTGTTGGTTGTTCAAAACATTACATAGTTCTTGATATATCATATTTCACACTTTGATTCAAGTGGGTTATGAACTCCCATTTTTACCCCGTATACAGATTGCAGAATCACATCAGTTACACATCCATTGATTTACATATTGCCATACTAGTGTCTGTTGTATTCTGCTGCCTTTCCTATCCTCTACTATCCCCCTCCCCTCCCTTCCCCTCCCCTCTTCTCTCTCTACTCCCTCTACTGTAATTCATTTCTCCCCCTTGTATTTTTTCCCTTTCCCCTCACTTCCTCTTGTATGTAATTTTGTATAACCCTGAGGGTCTCCTTACATTTCCATGCAATTTCCCTTCTCTCTCCCTTTCCCTCCCACCTCTCATCCCTGTTTAATGTTAATCTTCTTCTCATACTCTTCGTCCCTACTCTGTTCTTAGTTACTCTCCTTATATCAAAGAAGACATTTGGCATTTGTTTTTTAGGGATTGGCTAGCTTCACTTAGCATAATCTGCTCTAAGGCCATCCATTTCCCTGAAAATTCTATGATTTTGCCATTTTTTAATGCAGAGTAATACTCCATTGTGTATAAATGCCACATTTTTTTTTTATCCATTCGTCTATTGAAGGGCATCTAGTTTGGTTCCACAGTCTTGCTATTGTGAATTGTGCTGCTATGAACATCGATGTAGCAGTGTTCCTGTAGCATGCTCTTTTTAGGGCTTTAGGGAATAGACTGAGAAGGGGAATAGCTGGGTCAAATGGTGGTTCCATTCCCAGCTTTCCAAGAAATCTCCATACTGCTTTCCAAATTGGCTGCACCAATTTGCAGTCCCACCAGCAACGTACAAATGTACTCTTTTCCCCACATCCTCGCCAGCACTTGTTGTTGTTTGACTTCATACTGGCTGCCAATCTTACTGGAGTGAGATGGTATCTTAGGGTGGTTTTGATTTGCATTTCTCTGACTGTTAGAGATGGTGAGCATTTTTTCATGTACTTGTTGATTGATTGTATGTCCTCCTCTGAGAAGTGTCTGTTCAGGTCCTTGGCCCATTTGTTGATTGGGTTATTTGTTATCTTAAAAACATTAAAAATCAGAAAACTGAGTCCTCTCAGTTCACTTCTGTTTTGCAAGATTATTTAGTCTCTCTGTGTCCCACTGATTATCATGTTAACTGTAAAAAGTGATTTGAGAATTAAGGGAAAAAAAAGAAAGAAAAAAAGAAGACGCAATTGTGGTTTTGATAATTATTGCATTGAGTTTGCTTATGAAATTGAGATGGACTGCTATCTTATTTTACTTTTATTTTTTGTTATTTATTTTTTTGGTTCCATGGATTTATCTCAAGGACAGTCACCAACTGAGCTACATCCCCAGCCCTCTTTTGTATTTTATTTAGAGACAGGGTCTCCCTGAGTTGCTTAGTGCCTTCCTGTTGCTGAAGGTGGCTTTGATCTTGTGATTTCCTGCCTCAGCCTTGCAAGCCACTGGGATGGACTGCTATGTTCATATTAGGCTTTTCAACCCCAAAACAAGCAGACAAAGATATATTTGTTGTTGACAGTCTCCTTTAATATAGTTCTGTAACACTAAGTACAGGAGCCTGTGCAAAATAAACTTCTTATCTCCATTGTGCAAAGAAGGAGGTTGAGGATCTAAAGTGAAAGTGTGCACAGGAGGAACCCAGAGAGAGCTCTGCAGTCAGTGCTCCTGGTCATCCCTCTGCTCTTCAGATCTTCAAACCCATAATTTCCTTGACTCATGGAAGGAAAGTAAAGTGTTTTCTTCCACTTCCCAGGTAACAGAATATAATAAGCAGCTGATTTTAGTGTGAAGTCAGACTAGCAATGGTAAATACCAGGACTCTGTTGTGAAATGGTGAAACACCT